ACTTAAATTAAATAAACAGTAAACAAATTTACTTATTTCTTTAAACCTAATATTTTTCTAACACAATCATAACAACGAAACTTTTATTTTGTAAACAAGACACAACAAAACTAGCTCACGTCAAATCCGCATCAAAATGGCAGCGACCTTGTGTTGCAGGCTTCTCCCGAAAGCGGGTAAGATTAAGTTCTAATGATATTTCAGTTTTGAAATTTATCAACATGTTCTAACTATGCAATATATAAAGCAAGCAAATATTTTCCATTCATATTTTAATTATAAACTCTATCGGAAAATGACATACAGAGCTGAAAGACCCTATGAAGCTATATTGTGAACAGTAACGTTAGTAGCATCAGGGAATATGCAGTTCATACACTGTAAAATGCTTTGAGGTAAAGTTGGTTTTATACTCTCACATTTGTACTTTCTCCTTAATGATATAATTTCAGAAAAGAATTCTATGCATGCGATTTCAGACTGCAAATTCTAAGTAGCATGGTACACAATATAAGGACTGTCACAAGTTGTCACTGAATGGATGTGCGAATATAATAAATCCAATTTACCTCAGTAATACAATGTTGGGTTTCACAATTCCTTCATGTTGTCCTAACACAAGTCGATAAAGTTAACGTTAAGGAGTTTTGTTTTACAATATAAAATGAATTAAACAAAACAATTCAGTTGTCTTCCAAAACCTAATAATTGTGTTGTTTCAACTCATAATAAATTAGTAAGTCATTTTTGGAGTGAATGAAGTGTTTGTTGAACTCCCTCTGTTTGCTCAACTATATTTGGTTATTCGCTCCATATTTAGCTTTCTGTATTCCTGCAGCTACTGTGGATTATTTATGAGATATGAGAACCTCATAATAATCATGACATTCGTAAGGAAATTGTGTCATCATTATTTTAAGTATTAATGCTTGTGCCCTAGCCTTGTTATTTTCTAGCTTTGCATTGCTTTCTCAAATATGTTTAATCTGTCAACCTACAGGATGGGTTCCATTAACCCAGAGTGTTCGTCACGGCTCCAAAGCTGTCACCCGGCACAAAAAGCCAGTTCACTTTCAGAAGCAGAAGCTGCTGGCAGTAACCGAGTACATTCCTCCCACACTGTCCGCTCCTCCTGCTGCTCTCGCTCCACGAGTCAAAAAAACTGGAGAGGTTCATCATTTCTACAGTTATTAAACAAGCCTATTGCTGGATGTAGCCATTAGGCATCTTTAATTTTAAATATTTGAATTTTTTTAGCTACATTATTTTTATTTCATTTTTAGTTGTTTTTTTTATTAATGTTAATGTTTTGTATTATTTTAGTTGCCATGAGTACATTTTAAATTTTTTGTTTGATTTTCATTTAATTTAATCTATTATTTAATTTCACTTTATTATAAAAAGTATTTTTTAAGTATTATATGAGCAATTTTTACATGTCAATTACTTGTCTTGATGTATAGAATATATGCACAGCTAGTGTTTTTTCCCATATTGATAAACTTTTTAATTTTGTATGGTTCCTTTACAGCAATGATGTTGTCATGTTATTAAAATATAATAGGTTAAATATACTGCAGCGTTCATTTAGTTGTTCAAGCATAACAAGAGATGAAAAGCCTTTTCCACGCACACGCCGTCAGGATCAGCAGGCTAGAACTGTAAATACTGGAGTAAAATAAGCTGTAATTTAATGCAGTGATTCTTGTACAGTCTGAGATCCACTTTATATCATATATTAACCAGTCAGAAGATTGCAGATTTATAAAGGAAACAAACTTTTAATGTGCCGATTTTGTAACGGCATGCAGTTCACCGAAAGCGTTGGACTCAGGTTACTAAACAATTAAAAGACCTTCCGCATATACACTATTGATTTGCTTAATTTTAGAACAATATTGTAATAATAATATTTGTTATTTACTTTTATGATTATAATGCTATATGCTAACTTCTTTTTTCAGGAAAGCTCTCTGGCAGTTATGTTAAGGAAAGACTTAGAAAACTTGTTTCAAGAGTACAAGATGATTGCTGTAGCCCAAAACAATGCCATCTCTGCAGAGGATATGATCCATTTGAAACACAGACTGAAAAAACATGCAATCAATGTCAAGTTCTTTCCAAACCAGGTAATGCCAAGATATAGTAGTTAGGACTGTGCGATTTGTAGAAAACAAATTGCGATTAAAAAAAAAGAATATATATATATATATATATATATATATATATATATATATATATATATATATATATATATACATATATGCAATATAGGCAAATTGGGTTGGCTAAATTGTCTGGAGTGTATGAGTGTGAATGAGTGTGTGTGAATGTTTCCCAGTGATGGGTTGCGGCTGGAAGGGCATCCGCTGTGTAAAACGTGCTGGATAAGTTGGCGGTTCATTCCGCTGTGGTGACCCCAGATTAATAAATAGACTAAGCCGAAAAAATAATTAATGAATGAATATATACTTCATATTGCAGCTTCATGCGAATAACTAATCGCAATGTTTCAAATTGTGATTCGATTTCTATTAATCTCGCAGCCGTAATAGTAATGCTTACCACAGTTGACTGCTTGTGACATTTATTTGTGTTTTCGTGCAGGTGACAAGATCCTTCCTCAACAGCAGCATTTACGGTAACATGTCACCTCTAATTTTTGGCGAGACTGTCCTGTTAGCTAGTAAAGAGCCAAAAGTTAAAGAGATGCTGCAGGCATTGAGGCACAATCCACAAATTGTGCTGTTAGGTGAGTTTGTCATATGCACCAACTTATACTGATATTTTAAACGGGTATTATCTCACTGACGTGCTGAAACATTTTCTTCCAGGTGCTTGTATAGAGAACACATTGTTCTCGTATCAAGGCATTCTCAGTTACTCCAAACTCCCATCTATTGCCATCATCCGGGGTGAACTAGTTAGTGGTCTAACCATGATGACCTCAAAGACTGTCTCAATGCTACATCACCATCCAGCTCATCTTTCTGCCCTCCTTCAGCAGTATGTCAAACAGCAGAGCTCTGCTGACACAGATAAAGATGCTTCAATACAGGAAGCCGCAGCTTGAGTTTTAAATATAGACATGGACGAGCAGCTCTGTATGATCATGTGCATGTAATAAAATTATAGTATTTAAAGTTGTGTAGTTGTCATTTGTAATGTGTGTCATAGTTGGAGGAAAATGTATGGATTTGCACACAGGTTGCATTTAAGTACATATTGTGGAGACGGCTTAGTATTGAGGACAATCATTGACAAAAGTCTTCAATTAAACGTGTAATATTTATTCATGTCAGGATGTTAATGGATGTCTTTTCAATATAACATCTGCTGTTTGTATACATTTATAGCAATATACCATTATGACTTCCTACATGAATAAACGTGATGTTTGTATTGGGCAGTTGTGGTCTAATGGTTAGGAGTTGTACTTGTAAACAAACGTTGCAGGTACGATTACTGACAGGAATTGAAGATAAGGGGAGTGAATGAACCACACTCTGTCCATCTTCAACACCCAGATGCGGTGCCCTTGAGCAAGACACCTAACCCCTAATGGTTCTCTTGGCACTAGAAGTAATAGCTTTGTGTATGCGCACTGTTTGTGCATTTGAATGGGTCAAAAGCAAAGGATGAGTTTTGAGTATGGGTGACCTTTCTTGACAATATTCACTTAAATATGTGAATTGCACTTTGCCACACATATGCAAATGTATCCTCTGCAATGTCTTTGCATTTTTTGCCTCAAATACAGCTGATTTGTTTTGTTTGTTGATACTTTAACATGACCAAATGTGCATGTGAACTTAAAAGTCTTCTATACATTACTGTAGATATTTCTGCTTGAAGGCAATATTCAGTGTTTTATCTAGATGTATTTCATGTCAATTTTAGTTAAAATAGAATTAAAAGTATTTAAATTAGATGTAAAAGTATTTAAATTAGATGTAAATTCTACCTTTCTAATGATGATTTCAGTGAATTGTGTCATTTTGTAAAATATATAAATAATCGCCACTATATTCTTTATAATTGTTTTTAGAATTGTTGAAAGTCATTTCATATATATAAATCATGTTAATATAATAATTAAATGTATTTTTACTACCTACCCTTAATTATTTGGCATTATATGCATATAAAATGTCAAAAGGTCACAAAAATGTTTATTGAAGTGGATTTTAAGTTTAAAACGACAAATTTGCTTGGTAGCCTACATAGAAACTGACTTTTACGAAGAAACCCATTAACAGAAGTGAAAAGTGTGGGAACCCCTGGCTTCATTTACATCAATTAGGCAATGTCAATTTGGTGCCTTAAATGTAAATACATCAAAGGGGATTTAACTGATGTTTAAGTCAAAAAACCAGGGGAACATAGCCAAAATAAACAAGATAGTGATCATAGATCCTCAGTGCTAATCTCTGGATTACACACCATGTTCATCAGGTCAGCCCATCTTCATCTTTATAAATCTGGGTTTGCTGCAGAAATTTCATATTTCAACACTGCTCTCTGATTTAAGGACATGTTCACAATAATCTTTCAGGGAAACAAAACTTTATAAATTCTCTCTCTAAATAAAATGTATTTGGTAATATATAAAACCCAAATAGGGAGTTACCCACTTGAAAATGAGTAGATTTGGAAGTTATCCTGTCTCATTTGGCAGCTCAGTGCTTTCAGCTTTTAATGTATTCTGAAAGGCTGGCTCTCAGTGAAGTTCCTCCTACATGACTGTAATTCCGACAGCTTTTAAGACAATAATACGGATAATGATTTGGCCTGAAGCCTATGGTGGATTTGGAGGATGTTCAGTCACCAGTGAAGGAGAGTTTGAGTGCTGTCTCGCCACACGGTGTTCTGGTATGTACACGGAATAACTGCATTCCCGAGTTTCAGTAGAAAGTGGTTGAACCGGTTGCCAAGTAGCTAGAAGTGACGCACAATTGTACAAATGGGGGAACGTGAAAATCAGACGCAGCGAGGAGCACACAGTTTAGAAATATACCACACGCTGGCCAAGAGCAGGAACCTCAGGTAAGAGCAGGAGTTACAACGTCTACAGAAACTTTGTGAGATTTTTAGAGAAATTTTAGAGAAGCAATGGCGATTTGTAGTAGTAAAAATGTGTTTGGAATAATTTTACTGTTTTTTTTTTATTTATTAGTTAATTGGTGAAAATGAGTCGAAAATTTAGGTGGAAAACAATATGTGGTTTTTAGTTGTAGTTGTTTAAATATAATTTTGAGTTTAAAATACACTGGCGTTTACACTTGTACTGTTTAATTCAACGTGTGTTTGTATGATGCGGGAGCCTTGTAAGTTAGGTAACGTTAACCTAATCGCGTAACGTTGACCTTACACGTGGCGACTGTTTATGTTAGTAACGTTACTCAAAATGAATCTTTATAATCTCAGTAGCCTTTATGTGTAATTAAAGTTGTAGAGGTTTTAATAATTAAATGTTATTTTAGTTATACAAAGCAAGTCTTTCTGCGTTTTGTTTTTGAACACACCTGATGATGTTTTACGTAATGCTAACCTGCAATAGCCGAATTAATCATCGATGTGCAGCTTCTTTTTTGATTTTAAAGATGTAATTTTCGTATGACGACTTCTCTAACCTCTCTGAAGCATTTGTACTATTGTTATCCGTTAAATGTGCACCTGACACCGTTTTCCTGAGATTATAGATCATATTTACTGTGACCTGTCATCGTGCTCACTGTGAAAATCTATTCAAGCCAATGTCTGCTAAAAAGGGACATCCAAAGCCAATTATCGTAATGACACTAAGCCTCTCCCGTAGAGACTGTGTTAGGCTACTATCCATAAGCATGCGTTACTGCTTATATTGTGCAAAACAGAATGTTCCCTCCAACAAACTAAAAACATTATACACCAATTCTTGACTGAATATTCAATATTACAATTTGTTTATGAATATAACCAATTATATAATCAAATAGTTAATCACTCTCCTTCTAATCCATCTGTTTACAAATTCAGATGTTTGGCCTCAATCTTGTGTATTGGGCAGGTATGAGCTAGTCAGAGTTGATGAGACAATAGAACATTTTTGTAAACATGTTTGGTTTCTGTCACACCTCTCTGATGACATTCCATTCAGCTTACATCTTAAAGAACCAAGTTTTTTTTTTTTTTTTTTAGAAATCTCTGTATGTAGTCTATCATATTGCAGTAAAGGTGTTTCCTTGCTCTGTGCCTTATCTTTGCATGTTTTAACTTATGCAATTATAAGTGTATTATTTGCATCATTGTAAACATTTGTTGTGGTCATGTTAAGCTATGTGAAAAGTGTGAGATGATGAAATGGTGTGTCCTCGAAAAGGGCAAATGTTTAAGTCCTGCTCAGGAAGTGTTGTCTGAGGCAGATCCCTGCTGTTAGATAACAGAATTAGATGAGTTTTCCCTGGACACTGTGTTGCTTTTGATTTGTTTACAGCCATAATGCTAGTTACTTTAGCAATAACTAATTACACCTTAGACTTTTACACATTTTTAAAAGTTTTGTGTTTTCACTTAACACTGTTTGGAAATGCACTGTCACCATGACACTGTGATTTAGCACATTATTTTTTTACTCAAATATATCAATATCAGTATCTAAATCAATATATTTAGATGAATGGAAGTCAGAAAAAACATTTAAAACCCTTGTCAACATGGCTTTCCCCCCAGGCTCATGCAAAATATTTTTACAATTTTTTTATTATTATTTTTTTTTTAGTTTTCATAATTGGGTTTGTAACAAAAGCTGGTCTTACTGGTCTAGTTTGACTGACTAACTGATTAATATGTAATGTTTTCCTTTCTAAAAATGCATATGCTAATAATCAAATGTTTGTGTTTTGCAGACATATTGTGCTCTAGTGGACAATGAGAGGAAGTCTCTAGTAGAGCTTATATTTACACAGAGCTTGACTATTAAGTGCAAACTTTCACAATGGACTCAGTGGATCATAATCAGTCCCACATGAGTGGTGTGGAGAAGGTGTCCAGCGGCTGGCAGAAACCCAGTCATTCTAGGAGCAGCAGCACGGCATCTTCACGCCACTCACGTCTGGTTTGTACCATCTACTTGACATCTCTGGACACACATTAATATTAATATTGTATTACATTTGTGTATGCTTATCAGCTCACTTCTTTTATGTGACCTCTCACCTTTTTTATGTCCCATTCATATGACATTGAGACATACACTAATACAGGGTTGGCCACCCCTGCACTGATATCTTACAAATATAATATTAATATTTAATGATAAAAACACAATTTCCCTAAATGTACACCTTTGAAGACTTACATGGAATTTATCCTGTGGCTGTTCAAAACCAGTTGCTCAAGAACTATGAACTATACTGTCATATGGTGTGAAAGCCTAACTGACAAGTTTATGTGTCTCAACAAGCTTGATTGTTACATTTTGTTCATTTGGCTTACATGTGACACTTGTTAAAATAGGAAAACGCCCTGTTGTGCTTAACTATGATGCCTTCTTCTTACTCTTTCATATAGAACGTTAAAGACTGGGAGGTAATGGACGATTGTCCAGCAGACTTGACCATAACTGCTGAAAACATTCAGGATGCAAATACTCCAGGAATCTGTGAGGGCTACTTGATGAAAAGGAGAAAGTGGCCTCTTAAAGGCTGGCATAAGGTATTGGAAAAACTGGTGTTCAATGTCATTTTCTGCTGGCACTTGTCGCATTGTGATTCTAACGTTATGCTTTCTTACAGAGATACTTTGTATTGGATAAAGGGATTCTACGATATACAAAAAATCAACATGATGTGAGTATGTGATATTTGTTCATCCACTTGTTTTGGGCTCTTTTAACAATCCGTTATTTATTTTTATCGACAGTTTTCTAGAGGGAAAATGCATGGTTCACTGGATGTCAGCCTTGCAGTTATGTCCGTAAACAAAAAAGCGAGACGCATAGATCTGGATGCTGGAGACAATCTGTATCATTTGAAAGTAAGTCATTTTACAGTTGGCACTGAGTATGCTTGATTAGTTTTCAGAGGCTATACTGTGTCAAATTTAGAAGCATTTGTTAATAGTGACACTGATGGCTGTTAAGTGAATTACAGCCATCATTTACTCATCTCATGTGTTCTAAACCTGTTTGTTTCAATGCCTGTTCAATACAAAAGAAGATATTTTAAGGTAGGTTGGAAGCTGAATGGCTTCCTTAGTATTTGTACCTAGTCAAAGTATAAAATATAAAAAAATATACTAAAAACTTTGGCTTCGCCAAAAAATATAATATACTCATAATTTACTCAATCTCAAATTTATCTAAACCTTGATTCATTTCTGAACACTAAAAAAAGTATTTTGAACAATGTTGTAAATTAGTAGCCATTGACGTCCATAGTACAAAATAAAGGGTAATGGCTGCTAGTTTTTAGCATACTTCAAAACATAATTGTTTTTTGTGTTCAACAATAGAAAGTACCTTAAGCAGGTTTGGAAGAAGTGATGGGTTAGTAAAATGACAGAATTAAAATTTTTAGGTGAATTACCTTTTTAAACAAATGTTTATGCAGATAAAAAATGTTAACTAAACACATTTGACTTTTCATTATAGGCCAAGAGTCAGGATTTATATTTCATATGGGTCACCAAACTGAGCGCCCACAGGATGTATAAAAAGAACGAGGCTGCGCACGTTCACAATGGCTATCTCCAGGTCCTGTCCCATACCAGTAATTTATCTCACAAAACCAGTCCCATGCAGGACATGGTGAGTAAATACGTCTTCTACAGTGACTTCCTGTTGCACTCTAAATCACCAGGGATTAGGACAAAGTGTCCTCACAATTTAAGAACAAGCGGTATTAGCGATTAGACCTTATGTCCTTGATCTGTAAATGCACTCTAATAGATATTTTGAGTTAATTTGGCTAATGAAAGTTACAAATAAATGTCTTGTGAACAACTCTAGGGCACATCTGGGTCTTCTATGGGTGAAAATCTTCAATATGTAAGTCCTGCTGTTAATGGGAAGGTGTCAGCTTGGCTTCAGACCCAAGAACCAGATTTTTGTGGACAAGGTATTGTGGTGTTATATTGAACACTAGAAAATGTCAATAGTAATATGCATGAGAACAAAGAAAGGATTTTAAAATGCCACTTTGGGCTGTTTTCCAGAGCTGACACGTTGTCAGATGGAGCTGAATGAGCTGCAACGGCTGGTTCAAAAGTTGAACTCTCTAGAGTCGGGGCAAACTGTCTATAACGGAGACCTCCAGAGAATGATCAGCATGCAGGTTAGTAAATAAGGAGCCTTTACTTTAATGCAGAGATGCCCAAGCCAGGGCCTGTGGGCCAAAGATGACCTTTGATTTGGCCCAACATCCCACCTGAGAAGAAAGGGAAAATAATGGGGATGGATTCGAGATTGTCAATTTAAATTTAATGTAGCCCGTTTGTTTGTTTTATTGTTAAAAGCCAACTGAAATTTAATGTTTTAAATAAATGGTGTAAATAAATCAGATATTGTTTAATTGTGTATATACTGTCACCTGAAAATGCAGAGGCTTTGTTGAGCAAATAAAGTCAAAGACAGATTCTACTTGACTGGTGAATTCAACATTGAACTCAGCTGTTATATAAATGTGATTGTTTTATTACAATAACTTAGCATTTAAACTGCATTAGTTAAAATAATTTAAAGCAATGTTTTTATTTTTTATTATAAAATATTATGAAATAAATTGGGAAATTATCCATGGCTACTTTAATGTAATATACTTTGGTATATTTACCTGCGGCCCATGGCTCTATATGATATTTGGATTATGGTCCTTTATACAAAGAAGTTTGGGCACCCCTGCTCTAATGACTCCTAATTAAAGTTTGAACAAGGTCTATTTATGTTAGGTTTTATTGTATGCAATGAGCAGAATTTCACAGAAACAGGATATAGTACAAGTACTTGCATGCATACCCCAACTTTTACGTCTGATAGGTTAAAAAAAAGTCAATTAAATAGAACAATGACAAAAATTTTGTACATTTATTGAGACTGTGCTGCTTAAATTTTTCAACAAATGACAAGTACGGTTGCCATATGGCATAGAATATTTAGGTCCAATAAAAAGATGCGGGATGAAGGTTTTTTTTCCATTTGAAAATTACAGCGGGGTTTGGGGGTATTGACCACCCTAATTAATGCTTGATCCTCCCTGAAGGACATCAAAACAAGATGGGTCAGGTTAGCCTGTTAATAGTTAGAATTAGCTTTCTCTGATCTCTGATTTATATCTTAAATTTTATTGATTAAAAATGTATAATATAAATATACATTTGACACCCCCCCCCCCCCATATCGATTCATACCATTGGGAATGCATAATCGTGCCAATCAATAGAAAAAATATGATTCAACAGTCTTAAACTGGCAGTTCTAGAGCACTGAAGCACATCCTAAGTATTCACAAAACATGTTTTTGTAAAATAGCTGTTTTTATCTGCATGTTGCCTTAAAAAGAAAAAAAAAAATTAGGCATAATTTGTATAGTTTTCAGAGAGTAACCTCTAAAATAGTCACTAAATATCCCTTAACATACAAATTTTAATAATAGATGAGATGTCATTTATATACATTCATAAATTTCATTCACTGAAGCATACATTACCAAACTACTACCAAAAAAGTTGACCCCCCCTTGCTTGTCAATGTTTAATTCGCACCCTGATTTAAACTATATCAATTTTCTGGCTAGTATTGTGCAAATTGACAACATTTTACAATTACAATTGTGTGGATGCTTAGCTGAAAAACAAAATATAACTATTAGGCAAGAGACGATAACTAGTTTTAAGTTTTAAAACTTAAACTAGTAATAGTATAACTAGTTTTAAGTTTTTTTTCTATACCAAGGTATGGAAAGTCAAGGATTTTTTTCCCATGTTTTTATGACTATCAAATTTTTTTAAAATTGGACACAGGCAGGCAGGGATTTTTTATTGGGGTGGCCAAGCATGGGCCGGCAGTTACTTCGGGGTGAATATCGAAACTGGTGGGGGGTCACGGATGAAACCGAGGAGAGGGTAGGGGTTATGAGTGGGTTGCACCCCAAGCTACACTCTAACTCCGCCCCTGATTATATACATATAAGATTGGTCTAGAGCATATATAAAACAGTCATACATCTGTTTGATCCACAGAATCTTTCTCTTGACAAACCCAAAAAGAAATCCGCCAAGATTTTTGGTCACTCACGCACACTCTCCCGAGTTGAGGGTCTTGGAATGGTGAGACTGCTCATTTTTTCTTTACTTGTATTAGGACATCTTAGATAAAGTCTTGGAAGCAATTTTAATCTTTGTCCACAGGGATTGCCCTCTCATTGGGATTATTCCATGTTTTCCACAAAGGTTTGGAAAGTGTTATGGAATTTTATTCCATGTTACATAATGTGCAGTGTCATCCCTAAAAATCTCTGTATTTTATTTGAAATACAGTAGACAGGCATTTGTGTTGTGTTGATGTGTAGTAAGCAATAGAGCTTCAAAACCCCCAGTAATTTAGTCAACTGCTTTTTTACATGAAGCCTTTTCGTGGGATTACTAAATCGGTAAGTCAGCACAACACACATTTCCTGTAATTTAAAATATATTATATATCAGGTTGCTAATGCATTCAACCATTTGACGCTATTGCATTTTGCATATTGTGCACTATCATTCAAATGTTTGGGGGCGGTAAGCATCTTATTCTCCCAAGTCTGCATTTATTTGATCCAAGTTACTGTAAAATGTTATTGAAAACTATTATTAAATTAAAATAAGAAGCTATTTTAAACTGTATTTAAAATGTAATGTATTTCTTTTGTGACCGCTTTATTTTTAGGAATCATTAGTGCCACATGATCTTTGAGAAATATTTCTAGTATGTTGAATTGCTACTTTATAAACAGCAAATCTATTTTGTCAATGTTGAAAACTATCATGTTGCTAAACAATGTTGTGGAAATTATTATAATTGTTTTTCTTTAATGAATAGAAAGTGAAAGCACTGCATTTGTTAAAAAAATGCATCCTTGATAAATAAGTGTTAATTTCACCTTAAAACCTTTTCTAGTTTTTGTTATTGAAAAGGTTTGAATGATGCTGGATACAGTATAGTGGTGCTTTAAGACCTCTGCACACCAATAACTGTAACGGTGAAGATACATTCTTAAAAGGAATTGTAAATTTGAAATTATGGCAACATCCACACCACAACTAATCCATTTTTACAAAAATAGTGTCGGTACATTTACAGTTATTGTTCTTGGTGTGAATATGCCTTTAGTTCCTTGTAAATGTATAGTAGCTTCTAATTGTTACAAGCTTTACATAATTGTTAGAATTACAGTCCTCCCTCATTTTTCTTTCTTGCCAACATATTAACACAGTTATCATCAAGCCAGCTGAACAGTTCATCCCTTTTGGGAACCTCTGTTCCCTCCATTCCCGATTATGTCAGCACTCCGGCAAACTCGCCAGCCTCCACCTCACCAGAGAGCAAGAAACTCCACCAGGACATCTGCTCGATGTCACTGAAAGGTCAGAGAGTCATGCAGTAATTCTGTGTGCATGTGTGTGTGTGTGTGTGTGTGTGTGTGTGTGTGTGCGTGCATGCAATCAAAAAACAAGATGAGAAAAAGGAATAGTTGTCGTCACCCTGAAGTGGTTCCTAACCATTTGAGTTCAAATATTTTGAAGAATGTTGGAAATTTGTTGCCATTGACTTCAATAGTTGGAAATATTTTATAGGGAAGTCAATGGGTTTCAATAAAACATTTTCATATGTGTTCAACAAAAGAAAGAAACTCAAACAGGTTTTAAGCAAATGACAGAGCTGTAAACGCTGACATAGTTTTCATTTTTGGGTGATCTATCACTTTAAAACTGGTCTGTCCTGCTTGGTGCGTTAGACTGAATGAAGACTGAGGGTCAGATGGTTGTCTTTTCTTTTCAGTTCATGCCTCTCTGCGAACTGCACATGAGGCTCTCGCTCAGGAGCGCCAGCGACTGCGGGACACCTGGTCCGGCAGAGACCTTCACCAGAACACCTCTGCCCAGCTCAACAACCTCTGCAGTCTAGCTGAGGTGAGAAGGACTTCTGTTGCTTAGGGAAATGCCCATAGAAATCCCCTGAATGCATGCAAAGAGTAAATTTACTACAGCTTTTCTTGTTTAATCTGCTGTAAAGAATCAAACTAGCTCCTGTTTTAGTTTAAATGATTTAATTGATTGTAATGACACACACTGGATTGTCATCTAATCAACTTTAATCCAATAATGTGTAATAATAGTCATACACTGCAAAGATTGTTTTCTTACTTTAGAGTGTTTTTTTTTTTCATGTTTGAAATCCAAATGTATAAAAAGGCTTTTTTTAGATGAGTAAGCAAATAATCTTTTGTTTTCAGAAATAATTTGTCAAATTGGGTGTCTTGTTTTCATTTTGAAATAAGTATTGTTTTACTTAACCAATTAGCAGATTATTTAGCTTTTTTACCAGAAAAAAATGTATTCTTTTTGACTCGCACAATTATTTACATTTTTCCAGACTAATCAGTTTTTTTTATTAATTAATTAATTTATTTATTTATTTATTTATTTATTTATTAATTAATTAATTAATTTATTTATTTATTTTATTCAATACTTTTTTTAGCTTAGTAACACATTTTTTTTATTTTCATAGACTTGATTTAATGGTCAAAGTTTGTTTAATTATTTAATTACTTTCATAATTTCATGAAATACGTTGTTATATTTCTCAAATTAATTATTATAAATTAAAACAAGGAAGACAATTTCAATTAATTATTATTAAGTTTCAAATATATTCATTTTTTTCTTATTACATTTACAAATCCATACTAATATTCAATAGAGATCAGTTTCTGTCATAATAAATTCAAGTTAAACTAGTCTTATGTTGACAGTTTTGTCATGAAGCTTGATCATCTATCGCTGCATTCCAGTCCACTTTTAGACACACTCACTTCCTCGCCGCCATTTTAAAGTGCATTCCACTTGCACATCATGTGAATGTGGGAATTTATCTCGATCCCGTGATTTTGCTAGAGGGAGCAAGTAGTTGCAATCATATTGCATTCTGGGATTTATAGGTGCTGGAGTGGACACCTGAAGCCATCACAACGGTGTATTTCCTAAATGCTGGGACATGCATGGGGCATTCCTTTTAAAGCCATTCAGTACTTCCAGCCAGTAGTGGACACTTTTGTAACATAATTAATGATGTATATTTTAAGGAAATGAGATGGAGTGAAAGGCAAAAAAATTGGACTGGAATGTAGTCAAAAAGCAACGCCCTTCATTTACACAGACATGCAAAACTAGCTTGAAATGTTTAGTTTGTTTTTAGACCATAATACTCTTTTTGCAATTTAATATTCATAGACTGTAACTACTATTACACATAGCTGAAACTTTCATTTATTCTGGTATAATTTTATGTAATAATAATAATAATAGTAATAAAAATTATTATTATTATTATTATTATTAATGGGGTTTGCCTTAGGCAAAGTCCATTCTTACAATTGTGCATGGCTTCTTATTATTATTCTTCTTCCGTGCGTTTTCGGCGCGTAACTAGTCCCGCAGTTTTCGTCCCAGACCCTTGAAAGTGGGCTCAAATCGTGCGGTCTTATTGGGAATGGTGTGCTATGACTTTTATAAGGGGTGGGGGGTTTTTTGGCCCCGCAGGGGCCAAAAAACCCCCCCAAAAATCCCATAGACTTAACATTGAGCCGAACTTTGACGAATCATAGCACAGAGTGTGAATTTCATAGAAATATGGGATTCACAGCATCTGTAGGGGGTTGCAGCCTAAGTGAGAACATACCTCGCAGGGGGGTATAAGTTGTACCCTGTGGCGCTAGGACGTCCCAAAGTGGTCCCCATTGACTTACATTGGCCCCATTGACTCCCATTCATTTTCTAGACACTCGTAAGATACTATTCCCGGAAATCGCCGTAGCGCCAACACGGAAATTCGTAGAGACATGGGATTCGCGACATCTCGAGAGGGTTATAGGAGGCTTCAAACCACACCCCGAAAGGCGGTAAATGTTGTACCCCTGGGGAGCTAGGACGTCCCAAAGTCTCCATTGACTTTACATGGAGCCGAACTTTAACCAATCACTGCGTCCATTGTGAATTTCATAGAAATATGGGATTCACAACATCTGTAGGGGGTTGCAGCCTAAGTGAGAACATACCCCGAAAGGGGGTATAGGTTGTTCCCCTGGGGTGCTAGGACGTCCCAAAGTGGTCCCCATTGACTTTACATTGCCCATTGAGTCCCATTCATTACATTGACTCCCATTATAAATGTCACATGTCAATCACAGTACATAGCAGTGTCATACTGACTTGGGGGTGGGCTTATTTGACTCAGGCAACCAATCAGCATCTCATTATGATTTTGAAGCTCACAAGCCACGCCCCCCCAAACCACTTAAAGACCCCTAATAAGTGCCCCATTGACCTAACATGGGGTGGGATGTCCCATTGCAGATCCCATTGACTTCCATTATAAAGGTCACACATCTATAACATTACATAGGAGTGTCATAGAGACCCGGGGGTGGGCTCATTTGACTCAGACAACCAATCAGCATCTCAGTATGATAATGAAGCTCACAAGCCACGCCCCCAAACTGATCGCATAGACTGCCATTATAACTGGCCTACATGCATATCTTTGCTTAGCAGTGTCCCATTGGCTTGGGGGATGGCTCATCTGACTCAGACAACCAATCAGCAGCTCAATATGATAATGAAGCTCACAAGCCACGCCCCCAAACTGATCCCATAGACTGCCATTATAACTGGCCTACATGCATATCTTTGCTTGGCAGTGTTCTATTGACTTGGGGGTTGGCTCATTTGACCTGGACAGCCAACCACATTCAAGTTCACTCTGTAACCTTGCCCATAGCAACAAAACAGAGTACCCTAGCAACCATTCATCAACAGCTATATCTCAGCATCGGAACATCGTAGAGACTTGGGGATTGGCTCGTTTGACTCATGATAGCAAACGGAACTTCCTATATGCTACACATGCTAGCAGTGACTAGCTACATGCTAATATTGACTAGCCAAGTACTGTAACTTGCTAGAAATGCTTACTAAGTATAAATATTTTATCAGGCATGTATGTGAGGCTTGCCTAGTAACCACCCAGAGTACCCTAGCAACCGCCTAGCAACCACCCAAATTACCCTAGCAACCGCCTAGCAACCTCCTAGCAACCGCCTAGTAATGCCTTAGTAAGGGCCTAGCGACCACTCAGGACACCCTAGCAACCGCCTAGCAACACCTTAGCAACCACTTAGAATACCCTAGCAACCACCTAGCAACACCTTAGCAACCACCTAGCAACCACTCAGAACACCCTAGCAACCGCCTAGCAACACCTTAGCAACCACCTAGCAACCACTCAGGACATCCTAGCAACTGCCTAGCAACGCCTTAGCAACCACTTAGAATACCCTAGCAACCACCTAGCAACACCTTAGCAACCACCTAGCAACCACTTAGGACACCTTAGCAACCACCTAGCAACACCTTAGCAACCACCTAGCAACCACTCAGAACACCTTAGCAACCACCTAGCAACACCTTAGCAACCACCTAGCAACCACTTAGGACACCCTAGCAACCACCTAGCAACACCTTAGCAACCACCTAGCAACCACTCAGGAAACCCTAGCAACCTCCTAGCAACGCCTTAGCAACCACTTAGAATACCCTAGCAACCACCTAGCAATACCTTAGCAACCACCTAGCAACCACTCAGGACACCCTAGCAACCGCCTAGCAACATCTTAGCAACCACCATTTCTTACCTTTCCAGTGCTATTGCCCAGTTTAGTACCATTTTGTACCCCATCGATTTGCCACGCAAACCCCATTCACATTTCCTTTAGGAAATGTACAATTCTAGTTATTATTATTATTATCTGATCAAAGCACACATGAAAAATTATCAAATAGAAATTGACAAATCACTGAGTTGAGAACTTCTGCCATAATAGTCTAGTGCAGGGGTCACCAATCTCGGTCCTGGAGGGCCGGTGTCCCTGCAGGGTTTAGATCCAACTTGCCTCAACACACCTGCCTGGACATTTCAAGTATACCTTGTAAGACCTTGATTAGCTTGGTCAGGTTTGTTTGATTAGGGTTGGAGCTAAAATCTGAAGGACACCGGCCCTCCAGGAGCAAGTTTGGTGACCACTGGTCTAGTGCCTTATAGTTTTTAGTGCATTACTTGTTTTGCTTTGCTACATAGATTTCTTTGTGTGTGTATGTGTGTATCTCCAGTTAGATGTTAATTCCCGTCATACCAAAATCCACAAACTCTCCATATCTTCCAACTCCTCGGACGACTCCTTCCGCACTGTGGAACAAAGGAAGGTGTGTCTCTTTCCACCCATAATCCATTCTGTTCCCATTTCCTTTTCTTTACAGGTTAATGGGGTTTCAGCCGCTTTATTTGACTAAAAGGCTCTTTTGTTTTTGTCATCTTTCAGATTTATTAGTGTTGTCATGGAATTAAGTGAAAAGTTTGTAACTCAACATGTTTATCTGTGTTTTTTTCAGTCTGTCTCCAGCCGCTGTTCTTCTTTCCGTGCACCATCGATTGCTGATTCGGTGGCGGAGTATTTTGACGCGTGTGATGAGCTGAAGTGTGCTAGCTCCTCTGAAATGTCTGATGAGTCTGGTCTGAGTGATGGATCCAGTAATTCAGAGCCCTATGAGGCTCATGGTTAGTGGAAATTCATTTAACTACACCTTAAGCATGAATGATTGAAAGGTTTAAATATGTTATTAAATATATTATAATCGTGCGTGTGTATATATAATGATAAATCAGTAAAATATAATAAAATATTTGAATATGTATCATAATATAATTTTTATTTATGTCTGTGTGCGTATTTAATGTTTATTAAGTAAATATAATATCAAAAAGTTAATTGTGATGTTTTGAACATTTATTCATTAATTAATCTTGTACTAAATTACTAGCTAACAGTTTCCATTAAAATATTGAGCAGTTTTTTTAATATCAATAATAGAAAAAGGCTTTGAAGCATAATATGATATAATATAATATAATATAATATAATATAATATAATATAATATAATATAATATAATATAATACATTGCAATGCAATGCAATGTAATATAATGTAATGTAATGCAATGTAATATAATATAATGTAATGCAATATAATATAATATAATGTAATTATTATGCATTATCAAAAGTTATATCAGTTTATCTAATTGTAAATGTTTTTTTAAAAATGTTAATGTGAATAAAAATAATAAATTAAATAAATAAATAAATAAATATAGCAGCAAGGAGCAATTATTAGGGTCAAGCAGCCCAGCTGCTACAGCATAAACAAGCATGGCAACAAGTTACCGAGCAACTGGAAAATTCTATAACTTTTTGGCTGCATGGTCTGAGGCAAATTTGGTGGAAATTAGGCTAACAATCTATGGAGAGTTCAGAAAAACAGTTTTTTTTTTTTTTTACTAATTCAAGACGGTAGACAGAAAGTCGTGTCAATTAGGGAATAAATTATATCAGTGTTCTCTGTAAGATACAAGGAATCTGCAAGACCAGTCGCATGACAATAGAAAAAACTATTCTAAAGTTATTAGATGAATTTTGTATGATTTCTATTGATCTATTTTAATTGTTTGTCAGTTTTACCCAGAAGGTGGCTCAGACTGACATAGTTTGTTTAAAGTCAGGTCTAGATCCCGCATAATAAGTTTGGTTTAAATACTTCAATACATCAAAGCCTGTAATGTCATCTGGCAGCATGACATAAAGTTTGCGCATATGCTAAATGACAACAGTTTCATCTATCGACATGATTGCCATAACTTTTGGTCTACATGGTCTAAAGATTGGACCAACAGTCTAGAAGTTAAAAAAAATTACTTGAACAAAATCAAAATGGTAGACAGGAAGTTTAGCAGATGATGGCATAATTGATATCAGTGTTGTCGGCATGACCCAAGGAATTATTTGATCTTTAATATTTCTTCAAAATAAGCATATGCAGTCAAAAGTTATTCCCAAATTTTTAAGTTTCAATAATGATGGCTAATAAATGTCTTAAAACTTTTGAACTATAGATGGCTCTGTCACCAAATGTTTATGGCGTGGTCAGTGTGAGGAGACAGTGACAGACCAAAAATTTGGTGTCATTACCTTAAAATTTTTTTTTTAGGGAAATATTAAACAATATTTAAAATGAAAAATACAAACACAAATGACAAGATCTAAATTCTGTACCAACCTCAAAGTTTTGCATTAAATTCTTGGTTACACCATTAACTTTTTCTTATCAATTGAACAGCAATGGCATCTCGCAAATATCGAGCCAGCCTTTCGAAAGCAGCAGCAAAACCGAACACCATCAAGAGCACTGGACGGCGCACGACTCTGCCTGCGGTTTGTCCTGACAACAGCCATGTGGGTCTGATGACGATTCTTTACAACAACATCGGGAAGGATCTGTCCCGGGTCTCCATGCCAGCAGCTCTGAATGAGCCTGTGTGTTTGCTGCAGAGACTCTGTGAGGAGCTGGAATATTCAGACCTGCTGGACACTGCCAATCACACTGATGACCCCTTCCAGAGGATGGTGAGCATAATAGAAGATCACTTGCAAAGAGACGACACCCACATCAGATTACATGTACAAAAGTGATTTTATAAAAGGGTCTAATGTAATAAGACAAAATTAAATTATTATATTCTTAAATGTGTATTCTAAACCCCTGCTCTTTAAAAAAGCATTGAATATACTTGCGCTTGTTTTTGAAGACACCAAAATTTGTTTATTTAACAGTTTTTTAATAAAATAGAGGCTACATAAATATTTGTAAGCAACATAAATATTTTACACTTTTGATTAATTTAATGCATGTTTTCTGAATGAAAATGTAATTTAAAAATCATTCTAACTGACCTCAAACATTTTCTAAAGTAAATTTATACGGATCTAATAATAATTCTATTATTTCTTCAAACAAAGTATGTTTAAACTTATGCTTGCATCATTTACATTTTACGTCTTACATCTTTCAACCCAAAATCCTAAATCTGTTAAAATAAAGGTTGCATTGAATAACCATGGGACTTTTTCACTTATATTTAACATTTTATTGTCACAGAAGGTATTAGAATCATTAAAACGGACATTTTACTTTGATTTAAAATTGTGTGCATAGCAATACAGACTTCTCATAGTTTGGTTTTAGGTCACAGTTTCGGTACGATTCGCTATGTGATATGTTCAGTAAAGAAGCACTGTCAAATAAAAATTAAAGAAAAAGCAAATGAATGCATGAATGAAATGCAAAATGAAAACAATATAGCAAAGATAACATAAAACTGCTTTTCAGGTGTTTCATGTACAGTAGTTGTCAGTTACATAAACTTAAAAATATAATCAAATAACTCTTTATACTGTATATAAGCTAGCTAGCTATTCGGTTCAAGAGTGATTTCATAATATTTTGTTGTTTGATTAATATTAAAAACACAGAGAGCAGGAATAAGATGTAGCACAATACATAACCGATTTAATGCCCAAGTTGTAAAGGTGGATCTAATAATCGGTCATAACTAATAGTTTTACTGTTGAGCAAAATACAAATGACATGACCGCACATGTGACTACCACTGAAGATCTGAGAAGTGCTTATCTGAATAGCTGAATAAAAGCATATTCAAAAGTTTTTTTTCTTTATATTTTTGTTTGACACAGTTTTTTTACTGAACGTATCATAATCCAAAACCAAACTGAACAGTGAGAAGTCTGAATTGTTGCACATGTATAGTAGTTAACATTTGAAGTCAATTAAAAAATGTTTTTCAAAATTATCCTGGGACTAGAATGGGTGTTGATCAATAGTTTTGGGACAACTTTAAAAGGTGATGATGCACTTCAAATGTTGACTACTGTATGCATTTGCTGCTTATATTCTAGTATCATTATTATGTTTTTCTGTCAATTATAATCAATTGAGTGCATCTTTTCTTAGTTACTAAATGAAGTACTGACTCCAAATCAATTTACTGACCGCAAACATTTGTCTCTGTAAAGGTTTATATTGCTGCTTTTGCTATATCTGGCTATGCCACGGCTCAGTTCCGCAACCGTTACAAACCATTTAACCCAGTGCTGGGAGAGACTTTTGAGTGTATCAGAGAAGACAGAGGATTCTGGTATATTAGCGAACAGGTATATGATCTACACTACTAATCATACATCAGATACGTTTGCTATAAAACAGTTGTTTACACATTATTTGTGTGTTTTCCCTCAGGTTTCCCATCACCCACCTATATCTGCATGCCATGCAGACTCTGACAATTTCAGCTTCTGGCAGGGTATGTTTTACAGCCGGTGTGATCATTATGTGTTGCATGTCTGAATTTAAATCTCATTCCTTTAACTTTTTCTTTCTTTATTTCCTGAATGCAGACCAGAGATGGAAGAACAAATTTTGGGGCAAATCTTTGGAGATCATGCCAACCGGGATGGTGAACGTGACTCTAAAAAAGCAAGTATCTCTGGCATTGATGCTTTTTTAAAAATTATTTTTAATATAGCGTTTAAGGAGTATTCTGATTGGCCTGTCACAAACTGTGCTTTTAGATATGGGGATCACTATGAGTGGAACAAAGTGGTGACGTGCATTCACAATGTCCTGAGTCAGCAGCGATACCTCGAGCATTATGGGGAAGTCATTATTCAAAACCTAAACAGCTCCGTCTGCACCTGTAAGATCACATTTGTCAAGGTGAGTAAAGGTTGTTTTTTTATACGAATCAAATGTATTTATACATCAAATTTACTGAAGCCATTTTAGTTTGAAGAACTTATTAATTTAAATGTTTATTTACATGTTTAAAATGACTTGTGGTAAATGAAATATGGGTGAAATAATGTTTAATTGACGTTCATTGTAATCAATATATTTATATAAAAGTAAAGAAGCTTGCTTATCTGTACATTTTGAAATGTGTACTAAATATAGTGATTTAAAAACTTGCTGCTCATAAAATGTTGTTTATAAGTCCCTATTTTTACATTAAGTCTCTTTACAAATGCAAAAAATCTGTTTTTATTCCTCTCTCAGTCACGTTATTGGGGTGCAGATGCAGCCAGAAATCAAGTGCAGGGTCAAGTTCTTGACCAGACTGGGAATGTTATTCATCGGTTTGGTGGCTTTTGGCATGAAGGAATCTTCTGTGAGACACTACCCGTTCCACAGTGCATCTGGAAGCCAAGTAAGTACGCTGAAATAAAATGAGGAAAACTGATGTTTTCAGAAATTGCTAGTAAATTTCACAGTTAGTTAAAGAGAAATATGAGTAACACATTAGTTGCATCCCAAATAACACTCAATGCAATATGCACTGTTGTGGACCATGAGTTGTTATCTAAAAATGGGCAATGTGTCAGACGAAGATGAATCGGAGTCGGAGATTTAATCGAAGTTTACTGAAGATAGTTTACAGTTTCATCAGAAGAAGCCTACTTCAGCTACTCTATTTACTATCTAACTACAGTATTTTGCCGATGATACACAGGGCAACTATTTTGAGCAATGTTGATAACTTGGCAACTTACGTATGTATGTATATGTTAAAACATGGATAGACAATTTTCAAATAGGTACACAGAGGTGGGCTTATATTTTCTTCCAAGATATTATGGAGACAGGATCCAAAGTTCAGAGAGCCAGTAGGCTATTAGGAGCCGATCTCAGAACTGTAAGAATGATTGACAAAAGAATACAGTAGATAATAACAGAACTGTATTCTCAAGACTGTTTCCTATGCTATCTGCCATCTTATCAAAACTAAAAGAATAAACACAGCAGACTTATACCAAGACAGCTTCTCTTATAACAGAATCATTTAAAAGATTTCATTCTTCCACACAGTAAAATTCACATCTAGTTAACATCTATTCAAGTAACATCATGCGTCCAGTTCCACATGAGAGGTCTCAGTGACCTCTTGAAATGACCTAAAGTTTCTGAGAACAAATAACTTGGCATACAGAAAAAGCAATGAGGGATGACACTAAGGTCATCATATAATCTAGGCCAGGGGTGTACAAACCTGGTCCTGTAGGGCTCTTGCCTGCATATTTCAGTTCCAACTCCAATTCAACACACCTGAACCAGCTAATCAAGCTCTTTCTAGGTATGCTAGAAACTTCCAGGCAGGTGTGTTGGCGTGGCCCTTAAACACAAATTCAACATTATTAATAATCATAAAGTCATAAGAAAGAATGTGCGTCAGACAAATGGAACACAAAATTGTTTTACTTGATAGAAATTCAAACCATTTCTCAGACAATGTTTAGCACTTTAGCAAATAGTGAGATAATAGACCAAACTGCCAATCAGTACCTGTCATGAGTACGACCGCATTCACCATCAGAAGGCGGTGTGAATGAGGAGAAATTTGCTTTCCCAATCTAACAAAAGTAGACCCTGATAGCTTCACCCCTTCAGCTATGTGAGCAAATCTGCAACTGTTGAATGCATGAACTAGCCAACATTCCACACTTCTGTTTGGCGGTCGAATGAGTAAAATCATCTGGGTGTTTAAAGTAAACTTTTGAGAATAAACAGAATATTTTATTGTGAATGCACTACTTATGCTCTTTTGCACATTTACTATTTATCCTACAAAATAGATAACTTGGCATAAATTGCATAAGTATACGATTTGGGAGCACCTATTGAATTAAAGGTAAAAAGTCTTCTTATTAATGACACTTTGCTGATCGATAGTTTTTATTTTGTTGTTGATGTTGAAAAATAAGTTTTAGAAAGCAATGATTCGTCAGGTCCAAACTCTTCTTTTAAAGCCACCATGAACTGCTGTTTCAACCCAATTATCTTTAATACAAATAATTTCGAATTAGAACAGGACCTTCAAAAAATGTATCATTCTACAAATAAATGGAATTCTATTTTCGAATAAAAGCTTTTGTTAAAACAAAATTATTAGATTTTTGGTTAACGCTATGCAAAAACTCACCACAAGATCAGGATATAAAGACAAAGTCTTTTTTTCTGTGGTTATTTTGTCAAACAGATATAGATACCTAAGATATCTCTTTTTGTTTGCGGATGTTGTTAGAATATCTGTTTTTCCTTACAGATCCACAGCCAAAGAACTACTTGCTCTACTATGGCTTCTCAAGCTTTGCAATGGAAATGAATGAGCTGGTGCCTGAACTCAAGCCCCTGCTGCCCCCTACAGACACACGCCTGCGCCCTGACCAAAGGTGACACTCCTATCCTTACAGACATCAACCTGTAGGCCTGATGATGATGATTGATTACTATAACAGAATAGTGTTTTGGTTTTATTGAAATATAACAAGTCTTCTGTTTTAAAGGACATGTAATATACCCGGTTTACAAGTCTCATGTGTGCTACAAGATGTTAGTGTAGTTTGAGATAAAATACATCCATAATACACTTTATTTTGTATGTGTCTCTTTAAATGCTAATTAACTGCAATTCCCGCCTTCCTCAAGAAGAAGCTTTTACAGCTTTTGCTCCGTTACTATGCAGAAGTTCATATAATTGATGAAGAAATTGCATGTGCATCAGTATATTAAATCTGTGAAATCAGCAACAACACATTACTAACACAACTCAATCAGACCTTTTATTATTAAGAGTTATTTCATTTGTAGGTTATTTTGACATACATTTTCTAAAAGAAATTTCATAACTCTAAATGAGAAACAGTGCTTATAGTGATATATATAGAGAATAAGTCCCTTTAGTCAGTTTTTCGTGCACAAATTGGAACAAAAAAGAAATTTGAACAAGCAAAAAGCATGAAAGAATCACTTTTATTATCGTCCTCTTTCTTGTTAGGTTACTCGAAGAGGGGAAAGTAGAGGAGACTGATAAAAAGAAGGATGAGGTGGAGGAAAAGCAAAGAGAAAGGAGGAAAATAATGGCTAAGAGAGGAGAGGAGCACATCCCTCGCTTCTTCAGGTGAGTTAATAACAACATCTCTAACTGATGAATTGAGTGCTATAAGAGCTGAAAGGCTAAAATTCACCCTCCTCATTTTACAGGAAATCTTTGGATGCTGCTGGAAGGGAAGTTTGGCTGACTAATGGGACATACTGGAAGATTAGAGAGAATCCTGGATTTGCCAATGTTAATAATCTGGAGTTATGGTGAAGGTTGATCACAGCAACATTGTGGACACTAGATCCCTGTGATAAGTCAAGTTTGCACATAAAGACTATACAAACATTGGGAACTTTGGAAGCAAAGATGAATTGCCAAGGGTTTTTTTTGTATTGAACCAAATCCATTGTGCGAGGATGATGCTTTTATCGAAAACGGCAACGGGGAGGGATGCATTTTGAACATTTCTATTTATTTCGTGATCGAGGATACAGAAACTTGGTGATGGTTTGACCATGATTTTCAATTTGGATAAAATAGAAGGCAAAAGGTAATGGAGGATGTTGTGGAGATATTTTTGAACATTTCTATGGATGATCTTACATTACATTTACAGTTGATTGAAGTACTTATGCACCAATGGATACTGGATAATTCGGGTATATATAATATTCAGAGTTCTCCTTAACTACTTTCTTCTTCCTGTTAACATACCCGTTTATAAAAGGACTGCTATTTCTCGTGCAATGCCGTGGCTCAACCTGAGCAGGATTTAGCAGTAAATGGATTAACTCTAATTTTGGGCCCTCATCGACTTGTACTGAAGGAGGCTGCTGAAATGTGTCCTCGGTCACTCTTAGATTCTGCATCCTCTCCTTATTTTTTTTTAAATGAAACATATTTTGAGTTTAGATAATATTTATTGGCGTTTAAGCTCAGTTTTTGTCCTATATGAAATGTGATATCATAAATGACCATTTTGTGTAGGTTTGCTTGAAAACAATCAGTGTAAATGTGTAATTAATAAACTTTCCAGTCATGACTTGCATGGCTGATTAAAACAAATAAAATGTACAACATTAAAGACTACAAAAAAATGAATGCATTATACTTCAGACTTTATTCCATCGCATCAAAAACATTTATTATTATATATATATATATATATATACAGTATTTCGACAGCTGTGTTTGAGGCTCAGTGTGCTGGCTGAGGTATCTCACTACAGAGCACCTCCTTTATTTTTTAAATTGTAGCTTTTGACTCAAAATAGGCCGTTCTGGTACCAGAGAGAACTAAACCTAAATGGATTCTCTAAAAGACCTGCTATTTAAGCTCTCATAGATATTAGGAGAATAATGTCCACCAGGGGTCAGTCAAACACAAACTGTTTGTTCAAATGACAGCAAAAGACTACTGTTTTTTTATTTCAAATTAAATTTCAGTGTAAAAAAGGATTATTAGTTACACATTTTTTAAATTAACATGGAAACAATTTAATTGCACTTTAAAATACAAATTTGTAATGTGTATTGTCAGTTAAATAATATCGTGGCTTTCAAATAATATAGTTGCTCTCATTTCTCATTTGAAATATTGCATGATCTGAGTTGCATCTGAAAATGGCTTTCCTGTCCAGTAATAGTATTTTAAAAATAACAGTGCAGTCACTGGTCTTTTTTTCAAAATACATCTATGAAAGACAGAGTTAGAGTCAGTTCTCTTGACTTTTGAAAAATATTAATACCCTGTTGGTTTTTGCAGCACGTTACAATTTCTCGGAAACGTCTATAAACACATCAATGGCAATTTTAAATGTTATTTTACAAGCAACACGGGTGGCTTTTTTTTTATTAGCACACACGGCATATCTGTGCGTATTTTGTGAGAGTGTGAAACGAAGGTTTCCGGTGTGCTCCAGAAGACTTTTTTTGCGGTGGCATCTTGTCACCCACTTTATCTGTCTGAGGTCATTCTCACCTTTGAATGCCAGCGGTGCCTGATAAGCTTAGACGGAAGGCTCATTCTTTCTCTGTCACTGACGTCTGTGTGTGTGTGTGTGTGTGTGTGTGTGGGGGCTTGTCTGCATGTTACTCTTGTTTGAATAAAGATGATGTATAGTCAGTCTGAAGCCACTGCCAGGTGTCCATTTTTCCACCCTGTCTATCTGCATACCATCACGCTCGACGCCCCAAGACACGATGCTGTTGGTTTAAGTATGTCCTGTTACAGGTCATCAGATTGACACTGGTTCGTTTATCCCAACTCTATGACTTTAACTAAATCAAACCTGAGGATTACAAGGCCCTGTCTAAAGCAATCTGCTTCACACAAGTTGGCAGTACGAGAAGGGAAATAGTTTGTGGACTAACTTTGGACCAACTTTTATTTCAGTTCAAATGATTAGGTGTGTACAGTCTTAAGAATGTTGATTTTTGAATGTTGAAGACTTATATTTATTTATGATAGATATAATTTTTATTTTTGTTATTTCAGTATTTTTAGCAGGGTTCTTTTAATAGAAATGTAAAAAGTGCCTTGTTATAATGTAAAAACAGAGAGTGTGTGTGTATGTATATGCATGTATGTGTGTGTGTGTGTGTATGTATATGTACATGTATGTATGCATGCATGTATGTATGTATGTGTGTGTGTGTGTGTGTGTGTGTGTGTGTGTGTGTGTGTGTGTGTATATGTATATATGTATGTATGTATATATATATATATATATATATATATATATATATATATATATATATATATATATATATATATATATATATATATGTATATATATGTATGTATGTATGTATGTATGTGTATATATATATATATATATATATATATATATATATATATAGTGCTCAGCATAATTGATTACACCCTAATGCCCATATTCACTGAGAAATGGATAGAAATATTCAATGTATTTTGGTGCATTTAAACAAAACATATTAAATGGGTATATTAATAAGTTATATTTTATTCACCAAACATATTTAGAAATTGAAAGGTAATACAGTTAAATTCATTAATATTGTCAAATAAATTTCGTTTCTTTTGATCTTGTTTTTTTTCGTCAGACAATTTTTAATAAATATTTTTCTATAACATAAATTTGGGTGTACTAGGTTTTGCACCATTATCACAAGTTATTTTGTTAGATAAGCTCCAGATTTGACTATGAATTAAAAGATGGATTTGTGAGGGGTGTACTTACATATGCTACACACACACACACCGTAATTTGGCATGCATTCTATCAAACATATTATGTCTATCTATTAAAAGATGGAATCCCAGCTGGTGCATAGATACATGGTCTGTTAGACATCATGGCTATTTTATTTCTAGCATGTGTTGTCTGAGTGGCTTGGCTTTAATGTGCTTATTGATTTGTGCTCCCTGTAGGGGTGCATTTTGGTATTGGCTAGACACACAAATGGTGTGCTCTAATGTAGGCTCACATTCAGATGTATTACATGTGAACAGTGCTAAATTGTTATGCGTTTCAAATGAGTTTGTCTTATGCAATAAGTATTGTATCAAGGAAAAAGCTATTACAGAAAGAAGTGTTTTGAGCTACTATAACTATGGTTGATTGATTTGAATGTTTGCAGATCTACGGCATCACATGTTGTGTAAGTCAGACTTATGGGCCGTATTTTTGAAGCTATTTAATAGCTTTGCATGAGAAACCGATTGAACTGATGTACACTTAATACTCAATTGGTGATTAGCAGATGTGCTTTAGATTTCAAGTCTGTTTCTCATCAGTTTTAGAAACTGCATTAATTGTATATCCTGGCAACTTGAAGCCTTTTATTTTAAATGAGTAAATGAAGACCGGTTGAACTTCCCCTTCACTTTTTTTTTTAAGGAGCACTAAGAATGTGGCAAATACAGGTGATTGTTTGTTGGAGCATGTTAGTGGCGGGTGGGTGTTTTTTTTTTATGTCTGTGGCTGATGAGGAGGACAGAGACAGTTCCTTTGGGGGAGTGTCAGCAGGTGTGCTGTGAAGTCTTCATCTGCTAAAGTCACACAGGTCTGTCTGTCTGCGTGTCTCCAGGCCAGTGTCTCATTGCAGTCACATCGTCTTCATCTTTTGTGTGACCGTGACCTTCAGAACACCTCCACATGACCCCCAAACATCTAACACGGGGAACACAAAACACAGAGAGGGGCCGCCTGACGCTGTGGCTACTATCACAGAGAGCTTGATCCCTGGGTCTCGGGTCGTGTAGACAGACGGTGGGTGGAAGACGAGCAGGAGCGCAGACTCAGTGGGTGTAGAAGCCATAGTAGCCCGCGTCACTGCAATTGTCCTTTTCGCAAGTTTCAGCACTGCGGTTGGGTGGGGAATTTTCTGTGCTGGACGTGTAAGGTGACACACGCCTCTTCTTGCTCTCACCTCCCTCAAACAAACCAGAGTCGGCAGAGTCCACCGATTTAACCGAGGGCGCTTCAATCCAGGTGTCCTCCGTGGACTCTTTGGACTTGTCCTGGAGAAGTGGCTGACGTTGTGGCTCTAGGAGCGACGGCGAGGCGTGAAAGCGTGAGTTTGTGGCTGTGGGAGAGGAAGATGCAGCGGGGGATGGGACTGCTCGGAACCAGCTGAGACTGGATGTGGGTTTGCTGTGGTGTGGGTGGTTGAGGTATTGGGGCGAGGGCCGTCCTGAGGCTGTCCATGCTCCTGGATTTGCACTGGAAACCGCCCCGGAGGTGAAGGGATTCTCGGAGTAGTAGCTCAAAGGGTGATGAGGGGATGACTGAAGTGGGAAGGGCTTGTAGAGGCTGTTGGAAGTGTATTCGGTCTCGTAAGCGCTGAAGTCAAGGCGGTTTGGTGGCACCGCTTGTTGGCTGGACAGGTACCAGCGGCTGTGAGGACTTGAAGTGGGGTCTTTGGGGCAAGGTTGGGTCATGCTGACTGGCTCTCGGCTGTAGAAGCGACTTTGAGGAAGGGGGCTCATGTATTGATCAGAGAGGTATGGTTGGTGAGGGTAACAGCTGCCTGAAAGAAGCTGCTGGCTCTCGGTTGGGGAAGGTGTGAGGCGGTCCGGGTCAGGAGGTGCGTACAGCCTAGAAGAGGAAAGAGTTAAAGGTTAATTTTAAAACCGTCTATGAAATGTTGATGTTACTGAACTTTAATGGAATTTGAAGCAAGAAGGAAAGAAACAGAATTTAAAATCTGAATGCAAGGAAATTGAATTGAATGCTTTGAAACTCGTATTCGTACAACTATTAACTTGAAAATGTATGTAGCTGTTCACATTGAGGCGGACATCGCAACAGTTTAGCTTTGCTACATTTCTCAGATTATTTCAAAACTTTAAGCTCGAAATGATCTTGTCTCTTTGTGAATAATGAAACCCAATCCCCTTTCTGATGTCACTGATATTGACATATTACCTGTTAAGCACTATACTAAGAATTTTGAGAAGGTTTCAGACTCAATTCATTGTGTGGTGCTGTATGTGCTAAATGTTTTAAGAAATCCACTTCAAATGCACTGGTTTAAACATTATTGATTTGAGAAATGTTCCAAAGTGACTGTCACGGTCTGCAATATACAGTAGATTGATGCATAGATGGATTGAGAGATAGATAGATAGATAGATAGCATTGATGATGGATTGACCGAAGGAAGGATACAATGAGAGATGGATGTGATAGACTGATAGATACATGGTTGGATGGATAGATGGACAGCTGGATAGATTTATGGAAGGATGCATAGACTGATAGATGTAGGGATAGACTGATTAATGGAGAGCTGGGTCAATGCATAAAGAACGATGTACAGACAGCAGTTTGGATGAACACTAATATACACACAGATGGATGGATAGACTGTCATATAGATTGATAGATGGACTGATGGATGGATAGGCAGACAGACAGATAGATCTAATAGATGGATGTACAAATGGATGATGGATTGACCGATGGAAGGTTACATTGAGAGATGGATGAGAAAGACTGATAGATGGATGAATGGATAGACTTGATGGATGGACAGCTGGATATGTTTATGGATGGATGGATAGACTGATGGATGTAGCAACTTAGATGGAAGGGATAAACTAA